TTGATTTTAATGTTGATTTTAATAGTTTAAATGAGCATTCGCTTGATTTAATTAATATATTAAATATGTATGGTATGAAACATTACATCACAGTTCCAACTAGAATAACTCCCACTTCTAAATCATGTTTGGACAATATTATTACCAATATAAATCCGGACGTTATAATATCAAAAGTCATTGATGCCGACATAGCCGATCATTTGACTTTATTTTTGGAGATAAAAGACTTTAATATTTTAAGTGATACCAGTTATGTCAACAAAAGATTTATTAATGAACGTACAATTTTACAGTTCTCAGAAAAGTTATCTGAAATTAGTTGGCATGGACTAGAAATTGGAAATTACTGCTCCCAGGAGATTTGTAATATAATATTTACTATGTCCTATTGTAGATCTATGCTTTCCCATAAAAAAAATTCGCAGTGGTGACAAAAAGATTTTGTGGTTTAATGAGGAACTGCGGGTACAGCGAAATCAAGTATTTCAAAACAAATCTAGATTAAAAAAAAAACAATTCGTTAGAAGATTGAAGACTATATTCTGAATCGCGCAAAAACTATAGGAGTTCAATTAGATTAGAGAAACGTAACGCTTACAATAAAAGAATAGCTGCATCAGAAAATAAAAATAAAAAAATCTGGAATATTGTAAACGCAGAAAGAAAATCCAAAAACAAATCATCCAGTACCTCGAATCTAACATCTGAAGACTTTAATGTAGCAGAGAAGGTTATTCAAATAATCGAAAACGATAATAATATTTCCTCTAATGATTTTATTAAAATGGCACCGAAGCCCCCGTATTCGTTCTTTATGGGTCCAGTCTCTGAATCTGACGTAAGAGAGGCTATACTTCATATTAAAAATACGCCATGCACGGATTACTATGGCCTCAGTAGTCCCATGATTAAGGCCTCTATAGAATCCCTCATTAAACCACTTAATATTTTATATAACCAATGCATAATCGAAGGAAATTGGCCTAACCAACTTAAAATTAGTAAGGTATTGCCACTTTTTAAAAAAGGTGATTCTAATGATGCTGATAATTATAGGCCAATTGCCATTACACCTGTTATCGGTAAGATATTTGAAGTAAAGCTAAAAGAGAAATTAGTTAACTATTTTGAAAATAAAAATTTATTCTCGCCAGCCCAATTTGGGTTTAGAAGGCATAGATCTACAATAGGAGCAGTCGCTAAAGTAATTGATTACATAGTCGGTGGCTTTGACGAGGGCTCGAGTACTACTGCGGTATTATGTGACCTCACTAAGGCCTTCGACTGTGTAAGCATTGATATTATTTTGGAAAAAATGGAGTACTATGGCATAAGGGGGAAGGAACTTGCCTTATTTTTTTCATATCTGACGAACATATTACAGGGGGTGTTTCTTGATAATGTGGAGTCACAATTGGCTCCCATTTTAAGAGGAGTTCCACAGGGTTTTGTATTGGGCCCTGTTCTATTTCTAATATATATTAATGACTTACCGCGTATTGATCTTTGTCCCCTTATAGAGCTTGATTTTCCTAAAAATTTCATGTCGATATCATGTTTCGTTTTTGATTTATGATTTTTTTAACCCCCTCTTAAATCCCACACTTTTATCAATAGGCTTTGTCCACTTATAGAGTTTCATTTTTTTTTAAAGTTCAAGTTAATATTGTTTTTCAATTTTGATATATGATTTATTTTTAAGTTTCAACCCCTCCCCCTTCCTTAATTCACACATTTTTAATTGTATTTTTTTTAATTAATAGTCTTTGTCCCCTTATAGAGCTTGATTTTTCTGAAAATTTCATGTTGATATCATGCTTCGTTTTTGATTTATGATTTTTAAGTTTCAACCCCTCATAAACCACCCATTTTTTATCAAAATTTATTTCTTAATCATTAGACATCGCCAACTTATAAACTTTGATTTTTCTTAAAAATTTCAAGTTGTTATTGTTTTTCAATTTTGATTTATGATTTTTTTTTAAATTTCACCCCCCTTCCCCTTAAATCCCTAATTTTTAATCGTTTTTTTTTTAATCAATAGCCTGTCTTCTTATAGAGCTTGATTTTTCTTAAAAACTTCATGTTGTTATCATGTTTTTGTTTTAACTTATGATTTTTTATATTTTAACCCCCCTTAAACCCTCATTGTTTTTTAGATTTTTTCATAATCAACAGACTTTGTTTACTTATAGAGTTTGAATTTTCAACCCCCCTTCAAACCTTTTAACCAGATTTTTTCAAAATCAATAGGCTTTCTTCCCCTTATAGAGCTTGATTTTTTCTTAAAATTGATTTTTCCTAAAAATTTCAAGTTGATATTGTTTTTCGATTTTGATTTATAATATTTTTTTAAGTTTCCACCCCCACCCTTATATCCCCCATTTTTAATCAGATTTTTTTTCATAATCAATTTTCGGTGTCCCCTCATAGAGCTTGATTTATAGACTTTGATTTTTCCTAAAAAAGTTGATATTGTTTTTCAATTTTGATTTATATTTTTTTCAAATCAACCCCCCTCCCTTTAAAGTTCCAATTTTTATTCGTTTTTTTTTTAATTAATAGCCTTTGTCTTCTTATAGAGCTTGATTTTTCTAAAAAACTTCATGTTGATATGTTTCGTTTTTGATTTACGATTTTTTGAATTTTCAACCCCCTTTAAACGCTCACAAAAAATGACGGACGGACGGCTTCTTGAGAGAAATTTTATAATATACTAAGACTTCTACCAGGCCAACTAAGATTATTAAATCAACTTTAATTTATTTTACAACATTAGCTTCCAAAGCAACGATGCCAAGTCAGTGGACGCTCTAGAATCGAATGGGTATCAAGGAAATCGTATACTTTCTATATACATCAGCGCTGCAAGTGCCTCTGGTAGCAATAGTATTGAACTAAAGTATACGCAAGCCGTATTATTTTCATGTATTTTTTCATCATTTTGGCGTCTCTCAAAAATTTTGCCAGCACGTTTCTGACGTCATTATAGACCTCTGGAAAAATTTTTAATGGGCACCGTCTTAGAGCGTCTATATACGGACGCTCTAAATACCTGGACGCTCCAATGAATGCGATTTAAGAATGTACGGACGCTCTATCTATAGTAAGATATATATATATATATATATATATATATATATATATATATATATATATATATATATATATATATATTTTTTTCAATCAAAACATCCTATAATTTCTTAAAATTATTCAAATTCCGTTTAGAAATCCCAAAACTTAAAATTTGACAAATATAAAAGGTTATGTGATGTTACCACAGTATGTGTGATGTCACCACAGTAAATAAAAGGTTATGTGACGTTAACACGGTATATGTGACGTCACCACAGTAACCACAATACTGTAACCAAGTATGTTGTGGTAAGCTTAGAAAGAAATGCCTTAAAAGTATCCATCGAGTGACGTCAGAGTTAACCCAGCAGAAATTGAGCTAATTCAGCTATCCTCTTGTTGATAGTACTCTTTAAATTTCGCTGGCTGGCCTCATTTGTCAAACATAAATTAACTTGATTCAAAAAAGTTTAAAAAAACTCTTGGATAACACAAAGTAATTATGTCTCAAAGTTTTCGAACAGTACATTGTTTATTACTTTATAGATGACGATTAATATTTAAAAATTATGTACTACAACAATGTAATCAAAAGGTTCATATTTCTTTTCAGATTTAATGAAATCAGGGAGTTCATTAAAAAATTTAATTCCAACAAATTCAGGCGATTTCTCAAATAATGCTATTGAATGTCTTGGTGTTCTGAATAAATTTGCATTCCTAGTTGAGTATTCATGGTAATTTGAATTTTGTAAAAATTGGTGTAAGTTGCGTTTAGCATATGAGCAACGTTTTATAAATGTAAATACAGGGAACTGTTAATATTTTAAATTTTTTGAAGTTATATTTACAAGTTTGCATTAATTCTAGATTAAAAATAAGCCAGATTATTCTTTTCTGTAAGATAAATACTTTAGATGCATTGACTGCATCACCCCAAAGAATAATGTTGCAAATTAAGAGAACTGCTTTTTAAAGAGTATGGAAATGTTATGTCAGAAATAAGGTATTTTTTATATTTCTTTTTCGTTTATTTTAATTGGACACTTGGCAACACTGCGCTAATTTGTATTGACAGAGCATGACATATATAATTCTAAATTCTAATGAATAAGTTTACATAAACAAGTATTAGAAATTAAAAATTTAAAAAAACTGACTTCAAAAACGTGCAGATGCCATCACCACATCTTAACCAAATTTATATGAGACCACCCCTGAGGTACCCCCTTACTAACAAAAAAAGAATCATATAAATCGGACAAGGTGGTAAAGCATTATCGCTAAACATACATAAAAAATGAAGAGTTTGAGGATTTTTTCATAGACCCAATTATGAGATTTTGACTAAATTTATATGGGACCACCCCTGAAGTACCCCCTTTCTAACAAAAAAAGAATCATTGAAATCGGACACCGTGTTAAAGGATAATCGCTGAACATACATAAAAAAAAATATCACGACGAATTGATAACCTCCTCCTTTTTTGAAGTCAGTTAATGATCACTTAATGATCCTCGTTAGTTTTTAATATGTAAAATTTAAAAAAAAAGGTTACTCTATGGGGTTTCCGGTGGTATATTTGAAAAATAATCTCCTTCCTAAAGCCTAAAATGTAAGTTTTGTAAAAAAATATGTTTTTTTTAGAAAAGGGTGTCTTCAGAATATTTACCCAAATTATTATTTAATATGGTTGTCTTCGGGATGTTTGATCTTTAAGATTTTTATTGTCGAAAATTGGAAGATTTACCTTAACCACAAACAAGAGTGCATGAACTATGAAGCAACGAATCAATGAAGAATTCAAAAGAGATAACTGCAAGGCTGTTGAAGTGTGTAAAAGTAAAGGAGACATTAGGTACTTAGTTCATATTTGGCAATGGCAAAGCAAACTACAATATTACAAAATTGTATTTACCTGATACTTAACACAGTGGTCAAACTGCCAGGAAGCTGTATATAGTCCCATACATAGAGTTGAAATAATACTTAATGGTGCTTGTGGAGCAAAGGTGTCTGGCCATGCAAATCCTAGAAAATTAAATATATGTTTAATACAATTTTTTTTAATGGAACATGTCTGATATTTACCTGATATAATTGAAGTTATTCCGGAAATAACAGCCGTTTTGTGCAAATAATTTCCAAAAGTAATCCACCTAGCTGTCTCGTCCCCAAGTTTTGTAGGCTCTATTACAATAACTGAGCAACAACTTTCTAAAGCCTTTTCCAATTCCATTGAAAAAAAGTCTTGAGAATATTCATGATCATATATCTCTCGAATAACAGCAACATTTGTTGAATGAAGGACTCTATAAACGACCAATATTTTGATTTGTACATTCTCTTTTTATATCAATATTACCTGTCACCTCCAGCATCCATCCTCAGTTGTAAAAAAAACAAAGGTTTATTATTTCACAAGAGGATTTGAAAATTGAGGAAGCATTTTTTAACTACCACTAACGAAAAATATACAAAAAAAATCCTTGGAATATTTGATATTCTAATTAGTTATATAATACTTTTTCTAAAATACATTTGAATTCCAGACATAATTTGTACAAGACTTCAAAACACTTTCAAACATATGACAATTGATGACAATGACACACGACACTGAATGTCACATGACACTGAATGACACATGACACTGAATGACACATGACACTGAATGACCCACTGATCTGTATTATTTTAGGAAGTGACTATTCATCCGGGAGTACCGGATAAAGAGCTCCATTACTAATTGTCCGAAACCATTTTCCGAAATTGACAGGGCTTAGGACATAACCTAAATGTATTATTTAAAATTTTAACACAAATAGATTTTGAGCAACTCGCTGGGAATTATAAACTTGAAAGTTTTAAATCTCGAGTTAATAAAAACGAGCTCCAAATCTGTCTTCTTAGGGCCGATTCCACCGTTGTGTTAAACGGAGATTAAAATGACATTGTTAATGTAAAAATGTCATTTTAAACTTCGTTTAACACAACATTGGAATCGGTCCTTAACCTCATTATAAACTTCTCATCAAACCATATAAGATATAAATGAATAAAAAGCAGATTTAATTTAATTTCAAACAATATAAGTATCAATTTATTAGATACATTAGTTTAGTTTTTTTTCCTAACACTGATTGTTTTTTATTTATAGTATTATTTAAATTAAATTTAGGAAATAATTGTACAATAATTAGGGTTGCCATATGGACAATGTGTAAAAGTAGGACAATTGTACAAAAAAAGCCTGATTTTTCACAAAAATAGTTTCTTTACTATGAATTTACACAGGAATATAAAATTTTTAGCTTCTAAAAAAAAAAAAAACAAAAAAAAGTCCTTTTACCGAGCTTCTAACAAAAAAAGGCCTCAGCCAAGCAAAGACAAAAAAGAAGGACATCGCCAAACATTTGGGAAAATAATTTAACAATTTTTCCTACATTGCCCAGACAACACACCAAATCCCAAAGATATCCACAGAATATCTTTTGTGGATATCCAATATATCCACAGGATATCAGAAATATTCCGTGGATCTAATATGGATATCCAAATGTCCGTCTATATCCAGAATATAGAAGATATCCTATGGATATTCAGCAAAATATCTAATTAGTATCTTCCAGACAATACAAGAAATCCCAGAGATATGATATCCACAGAATATATTTTGTGGATATCCAATATCCAAATATGGATATCCAACCAAATGTCCGTCTATATCCCAGGATATAGAATTCAGATATTCACCAAAATATTTTATAGGTATCTTTAGTAGACATTCATAAGTAACCAAATGAATGATAACGTCGAAAGAAAATAGAGATAAAAAATATTTCCAACAATCTGTCTTTGAGTTTGCCCACTAAGGAAAAAGTCATCCTTATTAGGACTCTTCAGCAATAAATGGAAATTCTCGACTCCAATCTCTAATAGAGTCTAAATGCGAAAAAATGTTCGATCAACTCAATTATGGCGGGTTGAGCATGAGTAGATACGAAAGTGGTATCGCCATCTATACTTAGGAAGCAAAATCAAAAATTACATCTAGTAGTTATCCACGATGGTTTGCGTCCGCGCTAAGACTTTGATATATGTGGATGTCCATGGGATATTGAATACACCTTAAAAAAATTAATTTTAAATATCTGAACGGTACTATTAGCCACAATGGCGTAATTTTTTAATAATTTGCTATATAATTACTATTATTTATGGACATTTGCATGTCTATAAATTACATTTTATGGATATAAAATAGATATCCACCATGGACTGGACATTCAGTGGATATTGGGATGTTCAGTAGATATCCAAATGATTTGGTGTGCTGTCTGGGTGGAAACAGCCGGACATTAACAAATTGTCAAAAAAGGAGGAATGTGCTACTCTGTGGTGGACTTTTGGATATAAGTTCAATAAATGACATTTTTTGTTTTAATAATAAACTGTTTTGACAATGTAGATTATTTTATGACCAAAACAATATCTGTACTTATATTATGCAATATATATTCAAATAAAAACAGGGTAGGTATGTACAAAATACATATACAATAAAAAGTACCAAAGGTACTAAAGTACATAGCTATTCTGATTCTATTATTTTTTTGTTTCTTTTCCTTTTCATTCCTATGACTGTGGTATCAGCTCCTTTTGGTCGACCAATTCTTTTCATTTTAAGCGCGTTTACGTTTATATTTTTCAATTCCATTAATGGCTCTTCTTTTTCTTCTAAATTTTGGCATGACTCTTTACAATAGTTGTGTTCTACATAAATACCTTTATCTAGGCCTATTGAATCTACATCCATCTTATAAGATGCAACAAAATTTCCAGTATCTAAAATTTTGGAGCTTTGTGCAACAGAACTTTCAGTTGCCTCACGTGATGACTCATTCATATCAGTATCACTTACATTTTCAATAACTAAGATTTTTTTTCTATTCTGTACATATGTACGAAAAAGCTTGAACTGTTCAAATACGTCATTGAAATCATTGGTGCCATATTCTGAAAGAACACTTGCAATTTCTTCACCTACTTTCATTGTTTTCTTGTATTTTTCATGGCCAGATAATATATGCTTTTGTGAAGTTACTATCTGGTGTATTTCTATTTCTGAAGTATTGGTTGTTTCGCTAAAAGATGACTGTTGAGTTGAACGTATTTGATTCTCTATATAATATCTTCTAGTAAATTTGACATTAACTAAATTCTCATCAAACAACTGTTCATTATTAACAAAGCGAGCATTTCAATATTTCTCAAAACAAATGAAGTTGCATAGGGTGTTAAAAAGTTTATGTAACTATCTTCAACAGAAGGTTTTGGGTAGTGATGAACTGGCACCTTGTTGGCCATATTATATGCCTTAATTCTATTTTCATCTTGCATAGAATCAAATAAAATTAAAAGATCTTTGTAAAATGACACAAGAGAACCATTCTTTAAAACAACTTGTTTAATTTTTTGGTTCAGAGATTCCAAATGGTTTGTCGTTGAAATGTTGTATGTAACAGAATTTTTTAACAACCCTTTTACCCATTCACTTCGTATATTATGCCAGTTATCATTAAAATACTTTGTTACCTTCACACAATCTAACCCAATTAATTTTGCATAATTTTGTTTGTAGACACTTTCATTCTCAGAAAATGCAATGTCTTGAAGTACTGTCAAACAATTAGCCCTTTGGGCAGAATTAATGCACATTTTTTCACAAGTAATTGTTGTACGGAAAGTTTTAAGAGTATGAAACAAGCATAATAATAATAATTTTGCCCTTGGAAATTCTTTCTCAAATGCTTTTCTTTCTTTGAAGTCTTTGTCAGTAAAAATTGTAACAACATTAGACCAACATAAATTATGTCTTTTGAAAATCTGCATCATTCCTTTTATGTTATCAGCATTTTCATTTGCAAGTAAAAATGTTGCAGCTACTTCCCCTTGCCCATTTCCATTAATAATAAGAAAAATGTATAGTGGCATTCTAAGATTATTTAATTTGTATGTAGCATCACACAGTAATAATTCTGGGTAAGTTTGAAAAGAATTATGCATTTCTATACTTTGATAATAAATTCCTTCTAATGTATTATCATTATTCACCACCACTTCTACGATAGAATTTTTCTGACTTTTGATATGTTGTATAGCTTCTTCCAGTTCAGATAAATTCAACGATTTCTTTATTCTGGTGTTAATATTGCTTATGTCTTTCAATGTTAATGTTTTACCAGTTTTTGTTTTAATAAAATTCTTTACTAATTTCTTATTGCAGCGTAATTCGAGCAAGTGTTTCACTTCATTTTTTTCATTCTCAGCAAGTGCTCTTTGTTTAGGTAATGCTTTATACAGTTCTTCAGTAACTGTATGAGTATGTGTTCATCGACCTTTTGAATTTCCAGAAACTGTCCATCTTCTGACAAAGAAATCTTTATTCGGAAAGGACATTTACGCCTTAACGTACTAAAACAAAATTTGTAATTAAATTTAAACATCATCTACTTACTTAGAATCACGGCTTACCTTGATTTTCTTTTATGATCTCCTTTAAATTGATATTTGCCACCATGTACACATCGATACTCCATAAAATAATAAAGTAAACTTTTGTTGGCTGCCGTAATTTTAGCTTTGCACTTTTTCAATATAGAGGGACAGCTAAGTTTCTTACTATCATAACAGTACATTTGTGTATAAGTTGTTTCTTCATATTTTCGGAAATAATTTCTTAATTCCTCATAAGTGGAAAACCTTTTTCCTACCTTTAATTCCATAATATCCATCGTTAATTGTATACTAAATTGAATTTTCTCTGCCGCACAATGAATCGTGGTATTAATAAAACTTGAAACAGTTGAAGAAATGAATAGCTGCTAATTAGGACATGCAGAGGTTATGTACCGCACACAGTGTTGTTCCTAGGGATTTTTGAATTAGGCATTCCAACGACCTGTCCAAATGGCTACCAGTGGGTACTGACAGTTTAGATATGGCATCCCTGTTGTCATGTTGTCATTAACAGGATCAATGATACATATATGTTATATACATTTCTCAAAACTGGTCCTTTGCGAGCAGCCATATTGCCTGGCAAATATTTATTAATTTGAATCAGTTTAGCAAAAATGTGTTTTAAAACCAATTTTCAGACTTTAGATATTTAAAAAAATAATAATTGCTTATATTTTTACTTCAAGGCATAAGCTTATGTTTATTTTAAAAAATAGGGATGATCAATCTATGTAACTATCTATTTCACTCACCTAGTCAAATCACCAGGCCTACAGAGTTGCCATAACTTTGCCACATCATAACCTGTCAAAACCCACTGGAAGTCATTCAGTTTGGAATTCCTAATTGTACAACTTTCA